TTTTCGAATCTCGTCAGGATAAAAATATCTTGTCAGGATAAAAGCTGCTTCTATGCTGGCTTTCATGGGAATTGCCTTTAGACACAACACTGCTATCATACAAGTACGTTGCAAAATTGTCAGCTCTTGAGAATAGGGAAGCATCTAATAATCCTGAAGTGTTTGTCATATCTAAAGCATTATGTGGTAAAACTGGAGAGCTGCATAATTTGAATGAGCAGTTACGTCAAACTGTTTTAAAAGCTCATGGACTAGAGTTTTAAAAGGTGGATGGTTTAATCTTTATACTGTGTCTCAGTGACTCTTGTGTAGAGGCTTGACTAAGGCCTCTAACATAGTTCAGGGAAAATCATCCTTTTTTAATTAACAGTTTGAACCTAACTGTAAAAAGCTTATTAGCTTGGAAGACTAAGATTTCTTCTCACTAATTACAATGAGTGAAATAAATTCAGAACTTTGTAGGAGTTGTGATAAGTACAATGGATAAGTACTAAAACTATAGTTCTAATTGACTCATTAGAATGAGCAAGTTTTAAAATGACTAGATCTATACATTTTATATAAAGTTACAGAAAAATTAAGCTAGGTAGTATTACCCTAATTGGTACAAGGAGTATTACTTGCCCTAACTGATGCAAGATGACTAATTTTGTGCAACAGTCTTCCTCTGGTATGAGGAAAGAATTGATATGCAACTGATACACTTGTAATCTTCCTTTGAACCAGTGTTGTTTGGGTTTTTTTAAATAGCTTTTTATGTTATTCCAAAGTAATTCTTGCAACCATGTTTTTAGGAGGATAGAGATGAAATCAAGATCCATAGTCAATCTGTAATTCTTCTTTTCCTCTGTAGATAGTGGAAGTCCAGGAATTAAAGAATATGAAGAAAAAAAATGCTAAGGTAAATACATATATATCACTAGATTGTACAGCGTACAGAGGTGGGCATTGAAATTTCAAGAAGTTGACTAGAAGAAATAAAATAATTCACCAAAAAGTGTACTGTGTTACAGAATCAACTGCACAAATAGAGGGTAGGGAACTACCAGAGGTTTTCTGGAAAACATCTGAGTAAATACGATGGATCACAAACTCCATGTGTATACTGCTATACTGGTGTAAAAAAAAAACCAAACAGGAATGCACATTAGGATGTGTAGGTATCTATGCATGTGAATTACTCTTTGTTTGTTTGTTTGTTTTAAATGAGCACTGGTGAGGCCTCTGGAGAACCAATTAAGTATTGAGAGCTAACCTTCAAGAAACATAGATGAAATAGAATCTAGGAGAGCAGCGAAGATGGTGACCTGTGAGGATAGAATTGGATTGCTTAGTTTAAAGGACAGAAGTCTGAGGGAGCTGCATTCCCTAACTATATGCAAAACTTTTGTTCAGAGGAAGGCAGTTCCTCTGTTCATTCAGAGTGAGTAGTAATTGACTGAAAATGCAACAGGGGAATGTCAACAGGAGGAGGAACTAGTGTAAGAGCAGAAAAACACTGCAGTGGTTTCATCAGGAGAGAGGTGAATGCCCTACAGTACAGATATTTAAGAGCAGGTTAGGCACTCTCTGCCAGAGGCTTTCTGCCCAGACTAACATCTTCTGCAAACTTTTTTTGATGACAAAATAGCTTTTAACAAGTAAAGTCAACAGAAAGCTTATTCTGGGAGGTAGCAATTAATGTGCTAAAGTCTTGTTAATTTGAGGTGATATGGTAAGTTACTCTGCATGTAGAATGAAAATTTAATACACATCTAGCATTCACAGCCACTCAGAGTTATCCTTATTTTGCCTCTTACACATTTGTTTAAAATCAGATTTGTAGTTGCTAAATTTAAATTTATTATGAGTTTGGGATTTTTTTTAATTGGATGTTGTATTAAAGAAAGCTTAATTATGCTTAGTTCCTTAGTTATGGCAATCATACTGAACATACATTCGTATTAGTCTGCATTTTTAAAACAAACAAAAACCTGCTAGAGTTGGTCATGTTTGAGTTCAAAATGTCATAAACTCCTTTTGTATGCTTGTAAATCCAGTGTTCCTTAAGAGAAATTTTGGATGGAGATGAGAGTTTGACATTTTAAAGAGCTTTAAAGTGTTCAAAATACAAATGTAAAATATGGCAGTTTATAAGGTCTGGTGTCTTGGAATCTTCCACACCCAGAATCAGAAGCATAAAAGCTCAAACTAAAAAAGCCAATGAAATTTGAGTTGTTTGCCTTTGAAGTTACAGAAACCATTTCAAAGACTTTCCTCACTATTTGTTTCAGGTAATAACAGACATCAAAAAGAAAAGGCAGCAACTGTTGCAACTCAGAGAAGAGCTGATTGGGTATGTTTCTAATGATGCACAATAATAGCCTGAAGAATGTAAGGAGTCTGGTATTTTGTAACTCAGAAGTGAAAATAACTTTTTTGTTCTTTCATTTCATTTTGATGAAACTCTACTTCTGTTCTGTATTGCTTTCTGTTTTTACAAAAGCTCAGGATAACCTCTCCTTTCCATATTTCAGTTGCCTATGTAGACATTCTTGCAAGTTCTCCTAGCTAACTAGTTACTGGGGTGGTATTTCAGACCATATGTTCATAAGAAAAACACTAATGTTACAATTGGAATTGCAAAGGCAATCAATCGTAAATTTACAGAGGTAATAGAGACGCCTTTTTTGGTTTTGAGGTGGGAGAATGTATTTCACCTCTGCAATTTGGCAGGGATGCCTCTGAGTACATGGTTTGCTTCCATCTCATGTGGCCACAGTTCCCCTTCCCTAACTTGGCATTAATCTTAAGTATCATTTAGCTACACAACACAGAAATTAAGTTCTTTGGAAGAACCATTAGACTTCCCCAAATCCAGTTGGTTACTAATGACAGGCTTTATACTGAAGCTGCATATAACATACACGCTGTAAGTTAACACTGTAGGGAACCATGGGCTTGGATCCACAAAGGCAGATTAGAAGCCCTTTCTCTGTGGCCATGAGTCTTACTTTCTTTGCAGTACTATGGATGAACTTCACTCAAAGAACTAATCAAAAGCATCCCTCAATACAGGTTTGAACACCCTCACAGATTGAAAGCTGTCTTCACATTTTTTATTTGTTGTGTTTTAGTCCTTTGATCATCTTAAGAAAGCTTTTTTGCTGCAACACTGTTAAATGAAAATGGCTGTTGGTGTTCAGTTTTTGGAGTGCTATTTTAATGGATTGAGCCCTCCAGTTTACTTAGGCAGAAGCGTTGTAGATCCTGAGTATGCTCAGCATAAGCACTGAACACCTCACCCTGCAAGCAGGTGTGTGCAGAAGCAGAATGCCAAGTACTTAAACTTCCCTTGAAAAACTTAGGTACTTAAGAGAGAGTGGCCATATTGTCAGACTCAAAAGAGAGATGTGGAAAAAAGTTTGGGGTTCTTTTTGTGGATTTGGACCCATGCTCCTGTTTAAATAATAAGCTAGTTGTTCTAATTAAACAGTTATGTTATACTAATCTATGTTTTGTATTTCTGACCAACCTTTCCCTTAAGTCTTCTTCAGAGGAAATATGTTCATAGTTACTTATGAAATAAATATGCAGCTATAGTCATCAAAGCTTTGATCTTTTTCAGAGCTGAACCACAACTGATACAACTACAAAAAGAATATGCTGAGATACAGGAAAGGAAATCTTCCTTGAGGCAAGCAACTGAATTACTTACTGATTTAAAGCAGCTACAGCAAGACTGTTTGGATTATAGAGAAGAAAACCCAAAAGAAACATTAGTAGTAAGTATATATTTTGCATGTGTTTCTGAACTTTTCTGGATCAGTCCCCTTGCCCTTCTTTCTTTCCTGGACTGATGGCCATTTCTGTTAATGTTTAACTTATATTAAATAGCAGTATTTTGTTAATTGTCTTTGTGGGAGCAACTTGAGAATCATTGCTGTAACTGTACTGTAGTATCTCACTCATTTTTTTGGTTTCATGTTAGAAAATAAAGTATTTCAGAGAGGATTCTGCCACCTTCCTGTCTATGTCCAGGAATTCAAATGACATAGAAGCCTAACAGTTGTCCTCAGGTCTAACATTTTTTATAGAAATTGAAGAAAGTTTAACAGTGAGAAACAAGTAATCAATTTCTTTTGTTGTTATTGTTCAAAGGTAGGGCAAGCTCTGGTACTTACATGTCTGTTCTTTAACGTATTTAATGCTAAGAACAGTGCTTGTATTTCATGACCAGAGTAACTTCTCATGTAGTCGTAGAACTCCTTCCCCTTTCACCACGGCTCACGACCCGGTGTGGTATTTTCTGTTGACAATGCTCCACGCCTGCCATGTGTAAGGGAAATCCTACCATTTCAGAAGACTCTCTAATGTTGGCTGTTCTTCGCTTTTAAAAATCACGTTGCACCATTTCAGATAGAGCAAAAATAAATACAGATATGTAAGTAAGTAAGTGATTTTTCCAACAGTTAAAAATGTTGCCTTGTAATTTTATTTCTTTAACAACAGTATGGAACTTCCAGCCTCCCTGCTCTTCTGGTGGAGTCACGGAGAATTCTAGGAGCAGAAAGACACTTCCAGAATATTAATAAGAAACTGGAAGAGGCTCTGGCTGTACAAAGAGGGAAGTTATCAGAGAAACATTAAGTGTTTTTAACAAGCTTTTTGACATTTGTTAGGAACAATTATTAGAATGGTCAGTGCTTAAAGCTTGTTTTATCATTGTTGCTCTATTTTGCTTCAATGTTTAAAAGTTGTCAGTGACTTAATCAGAGATTGTATCTTTCTATTGTCACATAGTCTGTGTGAGAACTTATTCAGAACGTCAGTGAAATTAATGAAATAGCAATTCCAGTTAAAGTAGTAAAACTTCTGTGCTCTGTTAACGGTGTTGGGTTTTAATCTTAGGCTGTTAAAGTAATAAGCAATATATACTTTTAAAAGAGAATACATAGACTTTGGTTGAACTATTGATAGACAAATCTTTTTATTAAATTTGTATTTGAAATAAATAAATAATTTCCTCCCATTGCTGGAAGTCATCTATTTTACTTGGCTTACCGGTAAAACTTGGACACACAACTAACAAAATAGAAACCGCACAGCAGAGGGCGGTAAAAGCACTAAACTTGAAGCAGTGTTCACAATGAGTTTTCAGTCCAGCACTCTTCAGCCCTTGTGTAATCTGCCATGATCTCCCCATGCTTGTTGAAGATCATCCAGTTGTGAGAATACCTGGTTTTTAGCCATTACTCAGTTCTTTGTCTTACAGCTCTGGAATAGCGCTTTTGGACTACATTGTAGTATCTTTCACAGAAGGCACATGATATGCAAGCTTCAGTGCTAGCTGCTAGCCAAGGCTGTGGTTAGCTGCCTTCTTTATTGCAAGTGTCCTGTTTCCTTAAAGCTTCTGAAAGAACTTCATCAGGAATTTCTTCCATGGCATAATTCAGACTATCATCTGCAGCTTCAGCTAGTTCCACATCTTCAGTAGCTTCTAGGAAACGGGCATCATCGCTTGCATTGCTCCACTCACTGTCTGACAACAGGAAGTCTTGAGACAAGCTTTTTTCTAGAGATATTGAGCTTTTTGACAAGTCTGATGTACTAGAAGGTGGTTTTACTTTTTCTTCTGTGTTCCCCTTTTCATGCATTAGTGTATACTCTTCTTCCTTTTAGAAACAAGAATACTACTTATTCCATATGAAAATGGTCTTCATACCTTTAACTGTTCTGATCTGAAAGTTTGAAACTCATGCAGTAACATAAAATGGATACTACAGAAAGCTGGCCAACAAGACAGATTTTCTAGCACGTTAACTTATAGCCACGTTAACCTGTGGAACCTATTTGAATAGGAATAGAAATTTGCTGGTTTTCTAGCAAACTACAACTAGTCTGTTGTATACAGCTTAAAATAATACAAGGTTAAAACTAATTTCAGTGTCTGTTTAAAGATAGTCAGGATCTGAAACCACATTTAAATTACACTTCTATGAAACAACACTAATAGCTATTGATGATCTGCTTAAGTAGAGCCTAATGTGCAATTCTCCAGTATGAAATTTAAAAGTGTAAAGTGTAAATTTAGAAGTTGCAAAGATGCCAACTCTTGGTGGAAAAACTTATGTTCAGGGCTCAGGATCCTGGTCTAGTATCAGGTCAGTTTAAATATTCTACCCATATGGGTAAACATAACTGCTTTAATATGCTAAAATAGAGTTAAGTGAATTTCAAATTTGAGAGTCACTGACTTAAATTTGACTCTGACTCAGGTGTTCCAAGAGCACTTCTGTTTTACCTGGCTCAGCATGAAGTCAAACATGCACAGCGGAGCTTAACTTAGGCAGTTTTTTGGTCTAGTGGTTTATGCATTGGGAACTGCTGTTCAGACCAAAATAGAAGAAAGTCTTTAGTCCCAGGTGAAGTTATGCTATTCCAGTAACTTAGCTTTATTTGGGCTGACACTTTTTGTGCTAGATCTGCTGCTGGAGAACTTAAAAATGAATATATGGAGCTACGGCACCAGCACAGCTGCTCTGTGGAGCTATTCTATACCAGTGCAGCTACTCTGTAGAGCTCAACAGACTGTGTTAGTGGGGGTTTTCAATGATTTCCAGAGAGCGCTTTACTCACAGGAACTTCAGCATATCGATAGGACAAAACCATACCTCTTTGAAAAGAAACGAGAGACGTATCCTAGGTGGTAATGGAAAACCTAAATCAAATATATGGCATTAATTAAACTTGACATTCCAAAAAGTATTAAGTATCATTGCTTTGAAATCACAGAATACATACTTTGTGATTTGAAGTTTTCTTCTCTGCAGACTGGATCATGACACTTCTGATACCAGACTTCCTTCTTTAGATCTACCAGTATCCTAAGAACAAAATAATCTAGTTTTTAGTAACAGTACATAAATGAAGTGAATGCATAAAGTAGGAAACTCTGAGACTAAATGAACAGGTTTTGTTTGTCCCCATCTATGGATATTGCTTTCATACTCTGACATACTTATTTCCTGCTTGTTTTGTACAGTCTGTTATTTGTTTCAGTAAACTTCAGGCTAAGTTAAAAATATATTTCTTCTAAGACGAACATTCGAAAGTGAAATTTAGTCAACTTCATTACATTAAGCTTGGAACAAAAAGTCATTAAAGTAAGATTAGTACATGGGGCCTAACTGTAAGGTAAGATTTTGTTGCTGCCACTGTTACAGATAATTTCATTATAAAAGCCAGATAAAAATCACTATTTCCTGTCAAGTGATGAGATAGCCCAGCTCTTTCAGCTGTGCTTTAGAAACACCAAGCTTCAAGCAACTTGCTTGAGAAACACAAAGTTCATCCAGCATAGTGGCTGTGGGGCTTTTTTTTTTTAATACCCTTGTTTCTCAAAAACACATACATTCCTTATCTTTCATTTATTTTAAATGTTATATAGAATTACTTTTAAGTTGAAATATTTCTACTAATGATATACTGCAATGCTAATGTCATCTGAAAAACCTGACTTTTCAATACTTACTTTGCTAAAACTATAAGAATTCCAAGTCCTTGTAGAGTCACTAGCAAAGCTCACCTTGACTGAAGTGGTGGCAGGAATTACCTTTGTCATTTTAATAACATAAGAATGTAATTTAAGAATGCACTGCGAATGAATTTAAGTGTTCTGTTTTCTTTATCTTATTTCTGATTGTTCAGCTTCCTAGCTAAGAAGCATCAAAGCATAGTAGCACTTAATAGCTTTAACGTACTCTGACTTGTATGTTTGCATCTTTAGGCACATATTTTGAATAGCTTGAAGATTACTTCCTAGAAATACTAGAAATATAATTTCAGTTATCAGAAAGTAAATTGGGGGGGGAGAGTTTGATTTTTTTTTTTTTAAAAGTGTATCCCCACAGAGCAAGAGAGCAGAAATTGTAACAGGTGCTCATTCTATCCATAAATTTTTCAGCATTTTTATAGAATAACAGTTGAGCAGGAAAATAAATAAAGCTGTTTAAAGTGAACAGTGAATAGTTAAAGAGCATACATTATGTTGTTACTTTTGTGAGCTCTTCCAATATTTTCACACCAGCGGTAACCAGAAATATCATATACAAGTATTTCTTCGAGAGAGAAATAATTCCATCGCCGTATCCCTGGGGGAGGGGGAATTGATTAATTCTTTAAAACTACTGCTGCAGAAGACTCATTTGTAAAAAGTAAAGTTGTCTTTACCTCCTTGGACCCCATCTTTATTAACCAAAGAACGAACAAAAGAATCTATTTCTGGATATGGTGAATCCTCATAACCTTCCATGGGTTCTGTTAAAACAAAGGCCACATATACATACTGTTACTGGTTTTGCCATTGTAATATGTAATTGTAACACTATATAGACCATAGACAGAAAAATGTACATGAATCACACCAAATCCTTAAATAAAACCAGGGATAAAGCCACTGTTAATTTCCTGTAGATCTTTAAACTGCTACCCCCACCCCCAAGGTACTAAAGGAACTTGGACAAAGCATGACAGCTGTGGGATCAGGAGGGGAGGGTAAATGGCATTCAAGTGCCACACAGCATCCTTCAGCACAGCTGTACTCTGCCTCCTGCAGAAAGCTCACTGAAGAAAAGCCCTCCTAGAGGTTATCAGGTGTGTAAGTCACAGTACATCTAATCTGAGTACTTTTTTTTTTTTCCCCTCCTCTATAGAAGAGGCTTGAGGTACCTCTACTGCTTCTGGTAGTTACACGGTTTAAAACAACAGACATTTTTCTCTCCTCCTCTGAAAAGCCAGATGACAGAACTTGTGTGTCATGACTTGCTCTGAAGAAAAAAAGACAATACAAAGGAAAACGTGTGATTCCTACAGCATAACATAGAATGGTATAACATACTGTAACATTTCATAGTATGGCATAGCATAACATAGTCCTGGGCCACCGGCTCTAGGCAGCCCTGCTGGAGCAAGGGGGTTGGACCAGAAGACCTCCAGAGGTCCCTGCCCGCCTCAACCAGTCTGTGATTCTGTATGCTACCTTTCGCTATCCCTGCAGCACTTTTTCTTTTCATTTTGACAGCTTCCTCTGCCTTGCAGCAGCAGAGGGCAGGGTTTCCTCCTCCAGAAGTAGCAAAATTTAGTTCCTGGCAAAAATCCCAGGACCCAGCCATTTGAAGACTGCCGGTCCACACTCTTACAGCAGTATTTGCTCTAGATGTAATATTTATGCATATATACCCTTTGAAAGGTTTCAAATTTTTTTTTCCTCTCTCTACAATGAGCTACTTTTCCTTGCCGTATTACTAGCTGGAAGCCAGATGATCACAGAAGACTAAATTCAACACAGCAGAATTTCTCATCCATATTTATGACAGACTCAGCCTGATACCTGTGATCTGAATACACTACACGATTTATGCTACAGGGCCACTGGCATCAGATCAGGATAATGAACATTTCAGGATATAAAAATTTAAGTCACAACAAATACAAGTTTTTAATAAAAATATTATACATAGTACCATACAGATGGATGTACCACTTTAACCTTCTTTCTGCTGCAGTAATGATTAGGGTCATCTTAAGACACAGTCAGTGCAGGGTAAGATATATCAGAGGTTTAGACTAGAGACAGAAAACTTGATTATTGTATGTACCAGTATCCAGCCTAAGGAGGTATCTGTACCAAATGGAATCTGGTATGCAAATAAACATGTACAAAAATCCTTTTTATTTTTTTATCATACTTTGGAAAATAATATTTAGACTCTTCATATTTAATTGACTGGAAATCTGTAGGTTTTCCTTTCAGAACTATACAGAATCCAACCAAACTTAATAACGGTTACATTTCAGCATTTTGACTGTGTATAGAGAAATGAAGCACAACTCAGAAGCCATACCGCATCTTCTGTGTTCTTTAAACATTTGAATGTAGTACAAGAGTCCCAAGAAATTTTTTCTTCAAAAACAAGGAATTCTACTGGAAACTCCTAAATTACACTGTAACAGTGTTCATGGAGTAACTGCCTGTTGATAGTAGTTATTTGTATTTGTAACTGCCTCAGGAGACAAATCACTAAAATAAGTATTTAAACATTTTAAATTTCACCAGAATGAAACAATTACCTAATGTTGCAGATCAAAGAGGAAAGAAAATATGCTTCTTCCAAGGAAATGTTCTCTTCACAGTTAGGGACAAACTTATTATCCTCTGCTATCTTCAGAATCACATTTTTTCCTGCTTTTGATGATTTATACATCCGGAAATTTCTATTCTTTGTATAAACTCCTACAGGAAAATAAGTATTTCTTAACATAACAATGCTGGCTAGGATTTAAGATACTTAGTACTTGTAAAGTAAACAATTTTCCTTAGACCCAGCTAAGGGTCTAAGGAATGGACAAAAACTATTACTGACTTTGGCTCACATCCCATAGAAGATATGCAACAAAGCAAGATCATGCACACATGTACATTTTTATGTTACAGAAGAATTAAGACAAACACTCAACACCTCTACATAGGCATTTCAATCATTCTGACATTATCATTGCTAAAAGATTCTTTTCAGTATAAGGAACTGGTGCTTTCACATTGACTTTGTGAAATACAACTGAGCATAAAAAGCTGCACAATTATTTTAACCAGAAAGGACTTCATCAAACTTTGTTTTCTGTGGACCAGACACCACTTGTCTGAAGCATGTATCAGGAAATTTATTTCTAATCTCAAAAACAAACAACAAAAAAATGAACAGGTATCTTAAACATTGCCTAATCTGTCGTAAGAATTTATCAAGGAGGTGGGTGCTTTATTTGCGGGTTGCATTTAATTTTCATGAGGATAAAAGAACTTAAAGAATTCATACAAGAATGTCGCATAGCCTTCTATCACTGCAGCCTTGTCATGTAATGCAGTATTCCAGCTATTTTGATTTTAGCTTTCCAGTTTTGAGGTAATGTGTGTAACATAAATATTGAGGATGGTTAATTTTGGGGGACTAACATCAAATTCTTAAAAGGTGATGCAGTAAACAATTTGTTTTGCTTTAATTTCTGTTCATGAATATGCTTGAAGGAATTTTGAACAGTAGACGCAAAGTAATCCTTCTGAATCAGTAATGGAGAAGCCTACTATAGGGCCAAATTTGGGATTACGTTTCAACAAATCAGACATACTGAAGAGGCCAGCAATAAAAGTGATCCTGAATTCCATGAGAAGAATTTGAAGCAATGGGGGTTCTTCAGAGAAGTCTGAGAAAAAAACAAGATAAACTCCTCAAGTACGTAACACACTGCTGTACAAAAGCATGCTAAGCTATTTTCATTTCACTGAGGGCAAAAAGCAGAGAAACCAGATATGGGGATGGAGAAGGGTGTAACTTTCAAACTTTAGTTTGACAATGGGTGTTGTGCTCCTGGAGATTTTTAACATTTTAATACCATGAATAGGCTAAGCCCAGCTGGGCTGTGAAGTGCCCAACCCCAAATTTCTATTATTCTGTCATTAAAACCTAACAACCGCCATTCCAAACAGAAAGAAGGCTCAGTTCATACATGTAGAACAATACAGAAGGCCATGCCTGGTAAGACTTGTTCCATAATTAAACAGCTTCTGATTCCACTGAAATGACAAAAATGCAATATATGCTATCCTCTTTTAATCCAAATAGGAGCACTAAGTCCTTAGGAACAAAATTAATTAGAGAGGCTTGTGTGGAAAGAGTTTCTTCAAACTTCAGAACAGAATAATTAAATGTAGTAATACAAGAAGTTCCACAGACCAGGAATCTAAGGCTACTTAAAGTACAGCATTTATGATCAGTTTCAGCACATATTGTATTTGGCTTGAATTCTGACTACAGGGACAAGAACAACACTGCTGTTCTTATTGTCTGTAATCAAAGATTAAGGAACATCTCATTTCCTAACCTTTGTTGCATCCTAAAGAGCTTTAAAAGCACTACTTATATTTACCTAGATCCACAAAAAGTTGCTTGTTGCCTTCTTTATCATTTACTATCAGAAAGGAAAATTCTGAATTTTCTCCCTGGTGTGATGTTTCCATATCCTCTGTTTTGCAAGCAATGGCTGGCCAGCCTTTGGAAGCATCTTCGACAGCTGTGAGGTTTGTAAGAGAACCACCCAATCCAACTCCTTCTGCAGAACACTGGAAAACATGTCCTACTCCTTCTTCTGGAATCACAGCAGCAGCTTTACTCTCCACTAACCTTATGGCAGGCTGCAAAATGGTTCTCACAAAGTTACCTTAAAAACAAGCAAACAAAAAAAACCCAAAAGCAGATAATGTCATTTATGAGTCAAGAAAGAACTTATCAGTTCCTGTGCAAACATTTTTCAAAACAGCCAAGACGGAAGTGGTTGGAGTTTGGGGGG